AGCCATAAAGATTGTAATTTTCCGGCAGGGAACTAGCAAATTCGATGAATTGGTTTTCGTAAATCAATTTAGTGCCGTTGGTAGAGAAGAGAACGTCGCCTGTGGATTGACGCAAGATTGAAAACGAGAAGGTTGGATCGTTGCTCCATAAAAAGCTAAGGTCACTATCCAGAGTAGTAGAGTTCGCATCGGCATCAATGGAGGGTTTCTCTACAAGAGACTCTGGGAGAATGAACCAAGAGCTGTTCGAAGGTCCCACATAAGTAGGAACAATCTCCACATGAAGACGATCTTTCGATTGATATTCTACTGTCAGATTGAGAAAATCTACATCCGTTCCATAAACATTGCAGGCATCACCAGCTAATGACAAAAATGCCGTCAATCCGTAACTAGTTCGCTTGATATTCGATGCCGTATAGCCTGGACAAACATGTTGCGGATTGACTGCTTGCGGATCTTGGATATTTGGGATAACGGGTGCGCTCGCATCAACCGAAGCGGGAAGTGTATAAACGGAACGATAACTTGTGGTAGTATCTGACTGTGAAGATGTTGGACTTTGCGCAATTGTTGTGTGGAGAATTGCTGTGGCAAAGGCAGCAATTATGATACCAAGCCTACCCCCCATTGTTCCTCGGACGGGTTTAAGGTAGTGATAAACAAAGTCAAGAATAAGAAGCAGGAGAAAAATAGTCCATAGAACAAAGTATGATGGAGCAACTGATGGCTGAGAGAGAAAGGTGGTGATAGCTTCCGGAGAGCAATCGAGTGAGTTTATATAATATAACCATCCCTCCTCCGCACTCCGCCTTTCACCAACCCCACCCAAGAATAGATTCCGCATTAAATAGATCAACGTCATGGAAGAAAAATAAACTTACTAAATCGAAGGATGTGATGTTGTGAGGCCTTGTTAGCTGCGGATAGAAGATTGAGACCTTCAAAATAGAGCATGTACAAAAGGGCCGAAATGTATGCAAGAAGTGATGGCATATACTTTGGACGGGAACATACTGATGAATGCAGCAATGATCGGCAGGTCACTGTTTTTGAGAGAAGCATGTGATATTGAAGTATACTTGTAAGAAGTGCACTCGCAGTGAAGTAGCTGGTATCATGTAGTAGGTGGGTATGTTGGGGAATTGTGAGTGAAAGTTTCAGCGAACAATTTGTGTAATAATGTGGTTCGAATGTGGTGAAAATGAGCGTGGGAGTGCGGGAAAGTGGGCAAGTGGGAATGTGGGGTTAGCTAAGGCCGGGGAACGAGGGGAATTAGTGTAAAGCGGCAGAATGGCAGAATGGCAGAATGGGCCTAGCACGTGCTTAGGTCGTACTGGACTGGCTCGAGACTGGTAGTCGTACTCATGGAGCTGGAGTGCAAAGTATATCCGACCGAACCTTATTGTGATGAGAAAACTGCAACGAGAATTTCTGCGAAGAATACAGCGAAGAATGTAGCGAAATGGAAACTCCTGCCAACATTGAGTGTTTGTGACAGGATCATTTCATTTTCCATCTTCTTCACTCTCTCCGTAAAAACATTTGGTTAATGGTAAGGCCCGTACCATGGCCCTGGGAGCCGCGAGGTGACTTCATGTGTATACCAAACCACTCAAATCGAGTCCTTTATCAAGAATCAAAAACGAAAAGCACTTACCTACGTCGGTATGTATTGAGTATACTTCAATACTCCATTCATTCAAAACTAAGGTGCCAGGTAGGTAGGTACCTAGTATATTTACTACTGATTGTTCAATGGTGGCAATACTACCCAGTACCTACCTAGTACCTACCTACCTAGGTAAGCTTACCAAATCATGCTAATCTACCGAAGGAAAGAATGATAATCATGTAATAGGTACTCTTAGATTCCAATCCTCTTCGATACCTCTCGTGTCAATGATGCGCAAATCATTCAACACCGACATTGTCAACTTGACATAGGTAAACTCACAGATAACGAACGTATCAAACCATCGGACTATCGATAATCATATCCTTGATATGCCAGTCGGACCGGCACATCATTGCCAACAATTTTACACCCTTTGGTAAATTGTGAGCTTGCCTAGTATCCTACTCACTTTTGATCAACATTAACTTCCTCTCTTTAGGATTATTGTTGTCCAGAATTCGCTACATTCTTCGCCCAATCTTGAACACACGAGAATCGAGTGGAATTCTTGCGAATTTAAACTATTTGCCCATTGTGCGACTACGGAACAGTCAAACTGCAGACTCCGAGCTCAACACACAAACATTAACGAGCATCATGTATATCTCGCCTTTTGTCTTCGACATTATTAAAGTCTTCTGGCATACGGCTCTGAATCGCGCCGTCTAGCTGTGGAATTGGAAAAGATATCCAACTTGATTGCCATTTCCGCAGTTCACCCCCCGACCGAAACAAACAAACAATGTAGAAGAGTTCGGGGAAGATAAATATGGAGTGTAATACTGTCATGGAAGACTATATCGTACGATTTTCTCGGCCTCAGCTGCCTTGGTGACTTTTGGTCATGAGAATTGATACCCGATTTCTCAACCTCAAACGCCGCAGTCTACATGAAAAAGTGCTGCGTTGGATGATTTTCGAATTCCTGTGAAACCCATCCATAAGCATCCATCCGTCTTATCACCATGGACGTGTTTAACGAATCACTTTTCTGTCGGAGATTTGCATCTGGCTTTGGTTGCATCAAGCAGAGCAACATGCCTGCCGGTGACTATCGGACTCGGAGTCGATAGCATGCTGGTTGACACTTCTTACCGCATATTCAACGTTACCTAACACTTGGCTTGCCTTTAATATTGCCGATTTTTTTCAGATCAAGATGTCACCATGGCACCACTTTGCAGGAAAAGCTCCAATTCTTTCCAAAATCGAGACTGAGTCGCTTGCTTTACTTTTGATAACGGTAGCCTTTATTGTCATATACTAGCTATGCGGTCAACTTATACCTCGGTGTATTCCACAAGGTACGATTTATAAGTAACAAGAACATGGTTATCCCGGTAATCCTATTTCACCAAAATGTTCAACATGGCATTTTGTTTGAATTTCGTCGACATTATTCATCCTCTTAGTTTTGTGGAGTTCGTAATCTTTCAGATGAACATCCAAATACCGATGTTCGATGTGGAGGCCCCTGTTGAGAATAGTTCGTGTTCGAGACTATCTGATAATTTTTTGCTTACCAACGTCGATTTCATGACGAAAGCCAAGCGGTATTCATATATCCTTAACCTACTCGTACATCTTCGATCTTTTTACTGGGAATGAGCTCGGAGCTCCACAAGTCCTATGACTTTTTCTGCAGAGCTTTCGGACTACCGTTTATAATTCTCTTCCGTATATAAGATTTTCATTGGGTGTCGCTCAATCTACGAGCGACTGGTTTCAATGGCTCATTCTCTTCCTTTAATGATAGTGCGTAATCATCTACTGTCAAGCTACATTGTGACATTTTGACACAAGCTAGTAACTTGAAGCCTCCACTAGTAGGTGTACGGATTCACAGGACACTCGAGAAGAAAGTATAACATCATATCAAAATTCAATTAAAATTCAATGCTTTGTTGAATATTTATTGAAACTTTTATTACGGATGTATCAAGTATAAAAATATAATATATTTAAATAGGAATTGAAAAAAATTCAAAGTTTGTATACAAAAAATCTAACTTTATATCTTTTTATTAAAATATTTTGACGAGAAATTACATATTCAGTTTTCACATTACATAGATTCTTTACACTTGATAGCTATATATCTTAATTTTTTTCTAAAAGTTCAATGAAATTTCGAATTTTAATTGAATTATCTAAATCGTCTTATTTGGTATAGCATTATGCTTTCCTCACAAGCTGTCCCGTGAATCCGTGCACCCACTAGTTCTCGAACATCAATGCTTACAAAGTATTATACTTTGTTGGGACCAATTGTATACCACGTCAAGGTGGTTTATATTGCTTTGTCAATTTTCTGGGGATCGAAAATGATTCCGTTCTTACTTCTATGCGCACTCACGCACCACTACCTGTTGTTGAGCCTTCCTTTGAACCTATGAGTCTGTCTTCATTCGAGATGTTACTTCTTCTGATATACTTCCCAGCATCGAGCAGGAACCAATCCCCAGACCCTGTTCCATCATTCTCACGTTGCCCGAGTTAAAGATTGTATTATGTATTTAGCAGGCTTTGAAGATGATGTATTCTTTTCATCTTGTCTTACAAGCTTCGCCATGAACACGCGACAAATATTCATGCATGATTCAATAATGGTGCTATAGTGATGATCTGAAATAGTCTACAAAATCCCTTGGCTTCTCCAATCGTCTGACTGTTGATTTTGCTTATAGATTTTCCACGCCATGGTGTCGGTGGAGCCTTTCATCTGCCGGGTCATGGCTCTGAGGAATCAGTGAAAGTGCCGATCAAGAGACCAACGATCTTGTATTTGTTTGGATCCAGGATTAACTTTCCCAACAATCGAGTATCGTGGGCTGCATTATTGGTTGCATGTCATGAATGTTTTATTCTTCATTACACAAGAAACCTTCCATGATTTTCCTTGTCAGTTCCCTGCATAAGCACTTTAGAAAAGTCGATTGGTAATTAATTCGCCTTTCTTATTGGCCTACAATCAAAATTCGTGCTACACATAACTTTATTAGCCATAGCAACACCTACGCAACACCTGCGTATGATTGCATTGTAGAGTGATATCTTGGCTTCTTGTTGACGAGTGATTTGTGATCCTTAGAGTGTGGCTCCAGATGTTTGTCTGCAAGCTTGGATTGCATGATTCGATTTCTCATGGATCCATCGAGGAGGGAATCCAATCATCTTACCTTGCGAACATCCTAGTACCTCTTAGGAATTACTACCAGAACTTTTTGCATATAAAAAGGCTTTCCCAAGTCATCCTTTCACTACTACTGTCACGTTAATTTTTCTTTAAAGCCAACCAGCTTGTATCATCAATTCCGTCGAGATGTACATGTCAACAGTCCTAAGCCTTGTGGGCCTGGTCGCAGCTCAATGTCCATACGGAATAGAAAGGCAACCCCAAAAGCGCGAACCTAGCGATCCTCAAACCAGTAGTTCTACTTTCTTAGACCAGTTTACGATAAATGACACCAACACATACTTCACTACCGATGCGGGCGGGCCTATACAAGAGGATACTAGTTTGAAAGCTGGTGTGAGGGGCCCGACACTACTTGAAGATTTTATATTTCGTCAAAAGATACAACACTTCGACCATGAACGGGTAGGTGTCTACTTCTTTATAATCAACGGTTCTACTAACTTATTGAAAAGGTACCAGAACGTGCCGTTCACGCCAGAGGTGCCGGTAAGTACTGCATCATATTTCTTGGTAGATCATTATTGACATTCATGTAGGTGCACATGGTGTCTTCACAAGTTATGGAAATTATAGCAACATAACGGCAGCTAGCTTTTTGAACCAAGAGGGCAAAGAAACACCTGTCTTCGTACGATTCTCCACTGTTGCTGGAAGTCGAGGTAGTGCTGATACTGCACGCGACGTCCATGGTTTTGCTACTAGGTTCTATACTGATGAAGGAAATTTTGGTATAGAAAATTGTTCTTATCTCGGTAATGCTGAAAAACTTACGAAATTTTAGATATTGTTGGGAATAACATTCCTGTTTTCTTCATTCAAGATGCCATCCTCTTTCCTGATCTGATTCACGCTGTCAAGCCATCCCCAGACAACGAAATACCTCAAGCAGCAACAGCACACGATTCTGCTTGGGACTTTTTTAGTCAGCAACCAAGCTCATTACATACACTCTTTTGGGCCATGGCCGGAAATGGAATCCCAAGATCATTCCGCCACATGGATGGGTTTGGTATTCACACATTTCGTCTGGTTACTGATGCTGGTACTTCCAAACTAGTCAAGTGGCATTGGAAGAGTAAGCAAGGAAAGGCAAGCTTAGTCTGGGAGGAAGCTCAAGTACTTGCTGGAAAAAACGCAGACTTCCACAGAAAAGATTTGTGGGATGCTATTGAGAGCGGCAATGGCCCTGAATGGGAGCTCGGGATTCAAATTGTGGAGGAAGATGATGTGTTGAAGTTTGGATTTGATCTTTTGGATCCCACCAAGATCCTTCCTGAAGAGCTTGTTCCAGTGCAAAAGATTGGAGTCATGAAATTGGATGCTAACCCTCGAAATTACTTCGCGGAAACCGAGCAAGTCATGGTAAGAAATTTTCCTGCATCCTGACTATTGGAAACATTATGGGAGATATCATGCTGATAGTAAGTGATCTAGTTCCAACCAGGGCACATAGTGCGTGGTATTGATTTTACGGATGATCCACTCCTTCAAGGACGCATATACTCATACCTCGATACACAATTAAATCGTCATGGTGGACCAAATTTCGAGCAACTGCCTATCAACCGCCCCATTGTTCCTGTTCACAACAACAATCGTGATGGTGCGGCGCAACAATATATCCCTCTTAACACTGCTGCTTATTCTCCAAATACTCTCAATGATGGAGCTCCAAAGCAAGCAAATCAAACAATCGGTAGAGGGTTCTTCACAGCTCCTGGGAGAACGGTCTCAGGTAATCTAGTGAGAGAGGTCTCGTCAACTTTCTCAGACGTTTGGTCTCAACCCAGGCTATTCTTCAATTCGCTCATCCCAGCGGAACAACAATTCCTCATTAACGCGATCCGATTCGAAACTTCACAACTTACATCTAGCGTTGTGAAATCAAATGTTCTCATTCAATTGAATCGCGTTTCACACAACCTTGCCGCACGTGTCGCTTCGGTCTTGAACCTCCCAGTTCCGGAAGCAGATAACACTTACTACAATGACAACAAGACTTCCTTCATCACCATATTTGGCAATGAGCTCCCAACGATAGCAACGCTCAACATCGGAGTCTTGGTGAGTGTTAAAAACAATGCAACCTTAACACAAGCAGCCAATCTTGCAACATCGTTTTCGACATCCGGGGTAAACGTAAAAGTCATAGGAGAAATCTTGACGAACGAAGTGGATGCCACCTATAGTGCATCAGATGCGACACTGTTTGATGGTATCATCGTAACTGATGGTGCAGAGACTTTGTTCACAAACGGTTCAAAATCAACGTACTTCCCAGCAGACCGACCTCGTCAGATCTTGTTGGATGCGTACAACTGGGGAAAGCCTGTGGGGATTTTGGGAAATGCGAGAACGGCATTAGATGTTGCGTCAATCCCTGTTGGACCAGGAGTGTATAGTAATTCAACGAGTGTGAATTCGCTTGTCAAGGAGTTTGAAGCCGGACTGAAGACTTTCAGGTTCGTCAATAGGTTTGCCTTGGATGATTGAGGGAAAGTTTCCTATGGCTGGCATGAGAGATGTATCTCGATCTCTACTCATGTTCAACCAATAATAATATAGAACAAATTATCATAATAATTTCCAAACTCAAAGCAGATTTAGGATTCTATAAACTTTAAGTGCCTAGAAATCTGTGATTTCCCAACTACCTTTGTGACTAATTTTGATCAATCGTCAAGTCACTTAATCTTTATCTTTACCACATGTGTGATTTTATGGGATATCTTATACTTGATTGTAATGATTTATTTAGACAACAAAACGACATTCAAGGGCAGAAATTCAATGCCCGGGCTCAAATATTACCTTGTGTACCTGCATTTTGTTAAAGAGATCATATCCTTCGACTACTTCACTCAAGGGCATAATCTTATCAGTCATGAAACTGTATCTTATTAGGGACCTCATCTGAGAGATTTCATTATTGGATTGGAGAAACTTACTCAAGTTTATCTTGGTTCTTTTTAAGAACCTCCATAGCTTGTGGGAAAACACTTCGAACTGGGCATCGTCCAAATTGTGATTTCACGTTCTTGCCATAGGCCTCCATGCCTGACCAAGGGATATCTTCTTGCTGCACACCTATGATCACATTTTGTTAACAAGGTTACCTTTCTAAACCAAGAAATCTACTCACCAAAACTCGCGATTGTTCCCCATGGCCGCAGCAGATCAAATCCAGTTCTCAGCGCATCTGCATGACCGACACCCTCAATTACACAATCAGCACCTCTTCCATCAGTCAATTCTTTCACTCGCCCCGTCAATTCTTCTTTGTTCGTCTGATCATTCCACGGTTCTGCGCCCAACTTTTTAGCCAATTCCAACCGACTCTCCACACGATCAATAGCTATCACAATCTTTGGTTTATACTCCAAAGCATTGATCAAGGCACAAAGACCAACGGGCCCACACCCGATTAAAACCACAACACTATTGCTTATGGTTTCTTGCGACATTCCATCAAAAGCATTCCGAGCCGCGAAATATCCAGTCGGGAAGATATCTGCCATCAACACCAACTTTTTCTCATCAATGCCCTCTGGGGCTTTTACAGCTGTTGCATCTGCCAATGGAACTCTCATATACTCGGCCTGACCACCATCTAGTAAGGGACATCCGAATAACAAACATTTTTCGCATCGCGACGAATACCCTTGCATACAATAGAAACATTCACCACAAGACACGGTGAATGGCATGACAATCAAGTCGCCTTTCTTATGTGTCTTCACATCGCTTCCCAATTCAACGATCGTGCCTGCAGTCTCATGACCCATGATGAAGCCTGTCTTCGAAGCTTGATGCCCCCTGAAAACGTGGAGTTCACTGTGAAATTGATTAGTGTCAAGCTTCCTGGTCAGAGATTTACAATGCAAGGTCAACTTACCTTCCACACAATGCCGAGTATTTGACCTTGATTATTACGTCCGTCTGATCTACGATTCTTGGGATGGGTCGATCTTCGAGTCGAACATCGAGAGTTCCATGGAATACTACAGCTTTCATGGTTTCTTGAGTCATTTTTATGAAAAGCTTCGATGCTTGTATGATGTTTGAGTATTTGAATGGGGATCCAGAAATAGATTATTTCAATGTCCTCCAGCTGTGAGCAATAAAATATAATAAACCACTTTCTACAATACCTCGGAAACTTCTTTTATTGATTATTTAACTTCATTACCGGGATATGCGGGGTGATCAATTCGAGGAGGGGTAATTAGTGGGGGCATATTTTGTTCTTACCAAATCCTCTCGAAAATCATCTTTTGGCTTGAGTTGGGTCCAATTATTAGTCAGTTTACTTGAACCACCTGGGCATGTTCAACATTTGAGGCGTCGGGCGTTTTTATGATGTGCGGAATCGATCCATCCAGTCAATCATCGATAGAGAGAGTGTGTAGAATCTGGTTCAACCACGTACCAATTACAGCTTGGAATACTCGGTGTTGTTTTAAATGAATGCCGACCTCAAATCTAGCCGAATTCCTCACCCAAAACTATGCTTACTTAGTATTTTCAAAATTCAATATTAAAAGAAGTAATATAATTAAATTATTTAAATCTTGAATATATATAAAATATTAACAAATAAGTTATATATCAAAATCTCAAAGCTTTAAGAATTGAATTAAAAGATCTTTTATATATTAAAAATCTCTTTCAAATAATAATTTTTGTAGAATTGGCCTTCGACATTTAAAACCTAAAAATAAGCGAACTTTGATTTTTATACCTTTATTATTTTAATTTTCCAAATAACTTGATATATATATCGAAATAATATATTTTGAAAATATCTATAAAAAATTCAATTAAAAATTTATTTACATACAAAGATTCACACCTTAAATACTAATAGTTGAAATAATATCAAATTTTGAATTAGGTGACTTTTAATGAATTTTGGTGTGATATACACTGGCTAAAGTGAGGTCGGCATTCATTTAAAACAACACCGAGTAGCTCAAACTAGAATGTTTCTTTTTGTTCTTTTTTAGCTCATATCTCATAACTCACCTGAGCTCACAGCTTAGGGACATGTTTAGCTGAACGTACTAACCAATATTTGTAATTGTATCATCCCAGTTTGTGCTTTGTAAGATGTGATAGCTAAAAACAAGGTCGCACTGGTTCCATAAAGCGGGGTCGAGTGGATATCGATCACCGGAATAAGAATTCATAGAGATCTCCCCACCAGATCTCAATCTTCAAAAATCCTATTTATATTAGATACTAATATCATAACATTAAACTTAACTATTCAACTCGCCAAACAACAATTCTGATCACACATAGAACAATGGCAGGAATACAACGAGCTCTCGAGTTAGGCGCAGTACCTGCTCATGTTTCCAATGTCTGTCCTCCAGGGACACGAGCATATTTACTCGAACTCGGATGGCTAGAATGTGACGAGGGGTTTGTAACAAGAGGTGGTAACACATCGTTGAAGTCTACAGAAGGAGAGAAGTTCGTGAACAAACGAAGAGAGCTGCCAATATATGCCATATTAATTGATCACCCTTTCGAAGGTGTAATACTGTGGGAAACAGGATGTGGGGTTGATTATCCTGAAGTCTGGGGTCCACAAGTAATCGATGTTTTTGCACGAATTAAGTATGAACCAAGACACGAATTGAAAGCAGCAATTGAAGCAACAGGACACAAATTGGAAGATGTCAAAAAAATGTAGGCTGCCTTTGATAGATGAGCTAAGAAGATATACTTACCGAACAAAATAGAATTCTGGGTCACCTGCATTTGGATCATGCAGGTGGATTGGATCAATTCCTGGAGAGAAAAGATGTCGAGATTTGGGTTCATGATAAAGAGTTGCGTTCGGCATTTTGGTCTGTTGCTACTGGTGCCGATGTTGGAGTCTATTTAAAACATTATTTGGATGTAAGCTATTCTCTCGCTATGATTGATGTCTCGTCAAATGCTGATTCCGAAAAGCTATCGTTGAATTGGAAGACATTCGATGAGAGAACCGTCGACTTTTGTCAAGGAATTACTCTCCATCACCTTCCTGGTCACACAGATGGTCTCGTGGGAATGCAATTGAACCTTCGGGAGACCGGAACATTCTTTTTTATCAGTGACCACTGTCACGTCATTGAAAATGTTGGTGGAACTCCTCCTGGTTCTGGTCAATGGTATAATCTGTTAACAACGTGATAGTGGCGAGATGGAGTACCTCAAGGATGGCTAGCACGGTATGAAACGCTTGATACCACTGAACGGGAAAGGGAAGCTAACATGAAATTACAGAGATCATCCAGCTTGGTTCCAAAGCACCCAGCGATTAAAACGATTGGAATCTACAACCAAAGGTCGAGTGATACCAGGGCATGATAAAGAAACATTTCTACAGCTTCAAGGTGAGATGAATGATGGAAAAGGCTATCTAGAATAAAAGAAACATTTCTACAGCTTCAAGGTGAGATGAATGATGGAAAAGGCTATCTAGAATAGTATGTTACGATATGTATAACTATGTGGTGAGGTTGCTTCAGGAATACATATGATCTTAAAACCCCCCTGTTTTATCCTTCTCAAACAAGCCTGTGGAATTGTTGCCTTTGCTTCCGAAAAGGTCAACAATCTGAACTGCAGGGCAAACACTAAAGATCTTTGCTAAATTAAGATCTTTCCTAATATTGAAACTGTTTCAAATTTTGAGACAATACTGATGAAATTGATTCGAAGTAATCACTTCATCGAAATGACTTGAATATTGTAAAAACCTTTGAACTAAGATCTTGAATCTCCTACGGTTAGGCATCTGTACATGAGGCAAGGAAGATACACTTCGCAATGCCCGAGCCAGCACTTGTCCCCTCACAATGAAAAACACGATAAAATCTGCGACGTAGTCTTAAGTTGAAAAACACCGGACATCAACTCTTGAACTTTATCACATCAGATATTCTATGGATCGAAGAAACTATTATCAGGACTTCCTGTTGTATTTTCATAAAACTTGATGAGCCAGAGAGGATTCGGATGATATACACCACTTTAATACTCAATGTCCCGTGTAGAGCCACAAAGCAAAGTGAGAAGAGGAAGCACTCATAACCATGGATGGGGTAATGCGTTTTTGATGTGTATATTACAAACATGTCTGAGGTGTCAACCGTATGATATTCGGGTAGACAGCATGTTGAGATATGAGATGAGAAAGGTGCAAGCAATGTCTAAACCAAAGGTACCACCTAGAAAGCAACTTTTTGCGATCAATTCAAAATTCGGGCAGTACTGCTGCGGACATCCGATAGAAAAAACATGAGAAGATGGCCTGAATAAAACGTTCAACCAGTGAATAGAAATAATTGCCTGGTCTTTAGTAGGGATTGAGGATCGAATCGATTGGTATCAGTGTTGGGTCCACGACTAATCTTCTGCACTTTGTTTGAGTGCCTCGATATTTCGATGGTGCAGCTCAATTGAAGTCGTTCACGCTGCTGACGAGAATAAACAATAATTTGTAAAGGATGATCTCGTCTGATCTATTCACACGACAGATTTTTGGACCTCTCCACCTTGTACACCTGTTATCGCTATGCCACCAGTTGCAATACGTGTGACTGATACTTCGTATACAGAAGTTCTGTATTTGCGAGATTGAAGATTCTTTTGACCGGATGGAGTGGCCAGAATGAACTCTTTTGCTTTCAGTGAATTCTACGTCGTCTTCCATGTGATTGCGTCCATGACCTACCTACCGGGGGGGAGCAGATATGGAATGCAGCGAATGCCAATCGAATCTCGTGATACTTCCTGGAAGCAAACCGTGGAGACTGGCGACTGGCACACTGACCTGCATCGGTCATCTGGGGTAAATGCGCATGGTCTGCATTGGGACAGAATCTGGAGTGTAGGGAGGGTAGAAAGAGCGAGGAGACTGTGAATCAACGTTTTCTCTTCCCCTACGATACATGGTGATGGCGTTAATGAATTGATAGAACGATAAGATGGCTATTGCTCCAGAACAAGGGAATTTTGTTGACATGTCATATACTGGATACATATATCAAGACAAGTTAATTATCATTTATTCCATCGTATTAGAAAAGTCTGCATTGAATTCTTCTCAGATATTGTATCTTATTACCAGTGGTACCTTACTAGATACAAGGTATATTCTATTGTAAGACTTCAGGTAAGATCTTACCTTGGCTTATTAGCACAGTATTATTAGATTGTCTCGATTGTCTCGACTAATATCATCCTTTCAGCTCAGGCCATTGCAAAGCAAAAGCCTTGTACTGTCTGTAACAAGTCAAACAACATCGGAAGATAAAAGTCCATTCGGGAAAAAGAAAGAACCAATCAATCAATTCTATTTTCATCATTTCGCACCAAATTAATAATAATGCTCCACTCAAAAACCCCAAAAACGTTATTTCCCCAGTTCAGCTCAAAATTTGCGTTGATCTTCCATACTACAGACAGTACTAAGCAAAAACCTTGGAACACCAGAAACTTTCTTCTGATCCTTCATCATTCTTCCTCCTCTTACTCCTTTCGACTTCTTACTACCACCACCACCACCACCTCCTTGGGAGAAAATTTCAATTTACATTCCATTCTACTTTTAGTATCAGTCATATCAATAGCAAATGTATATCGAAAGAAATTATATAGAAATCTTTACATCCCACTGCGAGAACCTGATGCGACCATCCAAGAATCACCAAAAGTTACATCGAAATTATCGTTCCCAAATTCGAGCTGACGCTGAACGTCGCCGTGGTGCACCATGAATCAATCGCAGGCACAACAGAAACCAGCCATAACTACAATCCGAGGCTTCCAAACTCCTGCCGTTTCGGGCGATGAAGATTCTGATCATGGCTGCAATACTCCAGCACGATATAACCCCAAGATCGGTGATGTCGTCAGCGCAAATTGCAGCCCTTCATTGAAACCGTTCAAATCCTCAGGAATTGGTGGCATTAGCAGATTAAAGCTACAACTCGATACTCTTAATTTGGAGAATGAATCCAGAACAAATTCCATGGTGCGCAGCCGCCCTCAATCTCAACCACAAAGCAGTACGGCAACGACGTCCGATGACTTGAGCGATGATGAACGATCCGATAGCACGACATACGAGATACCCTTGGAACATGATTTCGTTAGTGAAAGTGTGCGGGCACAACCCATGTTCGGTGCAATCGAAGGAGGATTGATTCAGGATACTATCGCGAGAAAGATGGCTGCAGACGACTTTGAACCTTTACGATGTTTAGGCAAGGGAACATTCGGGACTGTCATTTTGGTCAAGCAACGTACAACTGGGACATTATTCGCCCAAAAACAATTCAAGAAGGCATCTTTGACGGTCCATAAAAGATTGGTGGAGCAGACAAAGACGGAGAGGAGTATTCTCGAAAGTGTAAACCGACATCCCTTCGTCGTCAAATTATTTTACGCTTTCCAGGACCACGAAAAATTGTACTTGATTTTGGAATACGCGCAAGGCGGAGAGTTATTCACCCACCTTGCCCAGGAACGTATGTTTCCCGAAGAAGTCGCATCATTTTACATGGCAGAGATGGTTTTGGCCCTGGAGCACCTTCATCGCAATCTTGGAGTTGTCTATCGCGATCTTAAACCGGAAAACTGTCTATTGGATGCCGAAGGTCATTTACTTCTCACCGACTTCGGACTAAGCAAGGTAGCTGTGGACGAAAACGATAAATGCGACTCTTTGTTGGGTACTGTTGAATATATGGCACCTGAAATCATCCTTGGACAAAAGTATGGGATGGCCGTGGATTGGTGGTCTTTTGGTGCTCTTGGGTTCGACTTATTGACTGGCAGCCCCCCATTCCAAGGTCAAAACAATAAAGTAATACAAGACCGGATCACGAAACAAAAGCTTGCTATGCCTTACTTTTTAGGACCCGATGCCAAAGATTTGTTGACTCGCCTTCTCCGTAAGGAACCCAATAAAAGACTCGGAGCTCATATGCCCAAGGACATGGCCATTATCAAGAAACACCGATTCTTCCGTCGTATAGATTGGCAGAAGCTTGCAAAGAGAGAAGTCGATGCACCAATTCAACCATTCATAACAGATCCAGAACTCGCAGAGAACTTTGCGGAAGATTTCACGGAGCTCTCTTTGAGTCCTGTAATTACTAGTCAAAATGGTGTACCATGGAGCGCGACTTCTGCGAATGAGAATAACCCTTTCGGCGGATTCAGTTATGTCGCAAGTCAGAGTTTATTGGATTCGAATGGATTCTTGGAGATGCATCAAAATAAAGTGATAGCGTAAATTTGGGTTCTTGGGAAGAAGGGGAGTCTACAGTGACGGACGTATCCTCAACAAGTATGGCATTTTTACATGAGGAACTGCCTTGGGACCACTTGAAGATACGCCGCATACATTGGTTGATTATAATCTAGAGCAATAGACTCGATGTTGGTCTGTTTGGTAGATCATGTAAATGTTTTCTGGCGTTCTCCTTTTCAGAGGTAGATGATTAGGAAATGAGGAAAAGTTTATGGCGATTACAGGCGGCGAATATGGATTTAATGGTTGGCGGTAATTGGGAATTTAACAGGAGACAATTCATAGATTGCTATTGGGGTATAGGGAATGATTAATTGAGAATGATTACGGAAACTTTATAACCTTTGTCGAACCGTCGTTTTTGAATGAACATTTTGTTGTGAGTGAAACATCGTCGACTCTCCATGTAAATGTTGAATGTTGGTTGCCATATCTAAAAGCAGCCAATAGCACTCACACCCGGATCCCTGGCAATTTTACTTCTCTATCTTTTTCTTTTCCGAATAGCAACAATTAATATCAAATCTTTGAATTATTGAGACGTGAATAAGACCTGGTTCTTGGTACCTAGATATATAGATACATAGTGTATTGACATTGTGTTTTGAGGTCATGATCTTTGAAGTGTCGATTATAATCTTCAATCACGTCATTACTTCCTGAATATCCAATCCTTATTAAGGTGCCGCCTACCTAGGTAGGGTAGGTACCGATATAAACACCCAGCCGTGCCACCTTGACCCAACTCTCAAACCTTTACACCAATTTTACACCAACACAACACGTCAAAAGACAACCTTGGGTCTAACTACCTTGTAACTAACTACCTTCCTTCACAAATTATTAAATCATGGTGAGTTTTCAGGAAAATACCACAATTTATCTCTAATTCCTCTAATTGATCCCAGGGAGGAGGAGCTAATTTACCTCCCCAGTCAAATGACTCAAAATCAGCCGTCGAACTTCTCATTCTCGGAGCGGGATGGACATCAACTTTTCTCATCCCACTTCTTCAACAAAGAGGAATAAAATACGCCGCTACTACTACTACAGGTCGTGATGGAACTTATAAATTTCGATTCAATCCAGAAGATGACACTGATACT